TATTAGATGCTTGTTGAAATAATGAAAAGATTTTTGTATTGGAAGTCTAATTTCAATAAAAAAATTATTTGAAGCTTTCGATGCACAGTAATCTCTCTTTTCTGATGAATTCCGTCAATAATATCACGTGAGGAGGTATATATGTTCGGATGTAACCGAACATATCAATAATTATACGAAAAAAGTTAATATGATAACACTCTATCGCTATAAATTAAGTCTAGACACATTCGTTGTATTAATTACTTTTAATAAACTATGGATTTTACTAAACTCACTAATGTAGTAATAAGAATAGCTAGAATGATTACCGATACGTACGTACTAAAGATAAGATAAAAAAAACCAGAATTTAATTTTAAAACCAGTTTTACAGCCGAATTAAACCGAGTTAATACTGTAATAGTTGAATCGAATAAACCGGTTCCAACCTGTAATACGTACACATGATTAAAGATCATCGTAATGAAAACCACCGTTATGTTCTTGGCGGTGAGAAATATCAAATCGAAGTATGTCCTGTATATTTTGTGAAATCGCTGCGGGAGGCGAGCAATTACTTTATGATGTAAATTGTGTTTAATTTTTTTTTGGTTCTGATGAATTTGATCAATAACAATAACCTATAACATATTATTTAAAAAAAGGACGGACAAATTGTAGCATTTAATGACAAATATCCAGCGGCAAATCATCATATTCTAGTAATCCCGAAACGTCATATTAAAAATATTAATGGATTTACAAAAGAAGATGTGGAGTTAGGTTTGTATATTAATTATATAAACTATATTGAATAAACTATATTATATTAATAGCTATATAATAGAAAAAAAAATTGCAGTATACTAATTTTTTACAATATCAATATCAATCCTTATTAAAATGAATGAATAAAGTAAAAAAGATGAAAGAGATAGGGTTTCGTTTAATTTCCGAAAAAATTGGTACCGACGAATCACCGATTACCCCTGATAAATATTTGTAGGTTACCGTAATGAATCTTAAAAAACTTTGCTTTAAAAATAACCAAAAATTTTTTTTTATTTACAGGATGGGATTCGGTTCGCCACCATTCAATTCAGTCTTACATGTTCATATGCATGTTCTATCAAAACCTGTAACATGTAGCTGGCCAAGATCTATGGCATTTGGAAATTGGATTTTTAGAAATGTTGATGAAGTTATCGCGAAATTATCAAGTTAATATCACAAGCAAGCAGCAGCAGCAGCAGATCAATCTTAAAGAAAAAATAAAAGAGAATTAATCAGTAAGTTTATTACAATTATTTGATTATAAACTAACTATTAAAGAATTTTAATATCTATTCCGTAATATACCAATTATTATAATTATATATATCTATATTTTACATTAACCATGTCTACAAAGTCTTATCCTTCGTGATCTTATCGATAACTCCATTAACTTGTTTTCTTTTAGTTTTCTCATCTATTAATTTTTCCAATTCACGATTTTCTTCTTGAATTGATTTATCATATTTCTCTGATACTTTTTTACTACCTTTTTGTTTCGCGTATACTTCTATTCCAATTCCAAAAAATACCAAACCAACTGATAACCATTGTCCAATATTTAAATTATGATCAAATAAAAATACTGATAATAATACGGTAAAAAATTTTCTAGTAACAGTTATAGTATTTAAAAATAATGATCCAAAATTATCTAAAGTATAAAATATAAAACATTGACCTAAAGCTCCACATAAAGAAAATAATAAAATATCCTTAATAATATTAGGATAATTATTACAAAATGTTATTGCATTAAAAAGTTCTTGATTCCAAGGAGTTATCAACCAAAAAAACATTAATATTCCACTAAATAAATTCATAAAAAACATCATATGTTGACCTTTAATTTTATATTTTGGAAATATTTGATCTTGTGTAGAACAAACGACTCCATCAATAAGTAAATTAATTGAAAGTAATATTATACCATATAATGAACTAGGTTCAACTGCTTTCTTTTTTTCCGATGTTGGTTGAAGTAACATAAAACTTGATACTCCAAGTGTAACTAATATTACTACTATATATTGATAAAATGAAAATTTTTTTCTATAAAGAATTATACTCATAAGCATTACTGGTACTAATTTACATGTTTTACCAAGTGTTAAAGTTGGATAATCAATATGTTTTAAACTTTCATATCCAAATGTTGGTGCTATTGCTCCAAGTAATGCTATTTGTAAAAATTTTTTTATTAATGATTTATTAATCATTTCAAAATTTTGTTGCGAAATTTTTATATAAATGAATGCTGTGATCGATGCCATAAATGATTGAATCATATTAAGAAATATGAAATATTTAAATTTTTGTTGGTTTGTTTCTTTATCTCCATATGGTGTGGTTGAAACTCGTTCTTGTAAAATTCCCCATGTAAGGAAACATGAATATATTCCGATAAAACAGAATAAAACTTTTACAAGTGTCATATTTGGTTTAAAAAATATTGTTGAATAAGATAGTTTAATAAAATAGTTGAATAGTTGAGGTTTATTTGTGAATATTAGAGGAATATTTGTGAATGTTTAAAGAAATAGTTGGAAATATTTGAAATCTATTTAAATATTTTCGAAAAAAGAGAAATTTGATCGAAAAAGGCTTTGTAAGAAATCATTCAATTCGTGTTGATAACTTATTGGCCAGATTTAGGAATGCTAAAAATAGTAATTATCCGGTTTCAACTTTCAGCTAATTTACGGTAAATAATTTACCCTGCTGACCAGGATTATACAATGGAGTTAAATGGTTACATACGCACGTACGTATGTGAATGGAGCTCAAAAAGATAGTATCAATTGGCTCCATTCAGAGCTCTATTTGCTTCTATTCGTAGCTCCATTGAGCTCCCTGGATGATACACATCATAAATTCTAAAAATATTTAACATAAATTTATAAAATATAGAAAATTACTGTATTACTTTCAAGCTTGAGTCCAGGTTATTTCGAGTAGAAATTTGCATTATATCGCATGTGTCATGTGAACATGGATTTAAAAAATGTTGAGGGCTCTTAACTTAGACCTAGAGCTCGCAATTTTATTCTAAACTAGATCACCGCTAACAAAAACAATCTCGAAGCTATATAGATTTTGTAAAAATTTTGAATTTGCTTTTTATTTTGTAGAGCTTAATTAGTGTTCAGAGCATTGCAGTGGCAAAACCTGCACAGAATTTTGCGAACAAAATAATAAATTGGTTGATATTAGCGTTGTAAACTTAATTAAATTAAATACTAAAATAATTTAATTTACGAAAAAATATTATTATTACAAAAATTACTGTATTTACAAAAAAATTTACAGTAATTCAATAATAATTTTTGTCATTGATAAATCGCTCTCTTAATTTAAGCTATCAATATTTATGAAAAAAATCGTGTAATTAATTTAACCTATCGCTATCGATATCACGTATCCCTTAAACCGTTCAGTTTAGCAGGCAAATTTGCCTGCTAAAATATAAATTTATAACTGATCTACTTTTATTAAAATAAATTTTTAAAATAATAACTATAATTATATACTATCTAAAAGTTCTTTTTATCTTTTTAACATTTGTAAAAAATTTGAAATTATTTTTTAAAAAAATTTTATTTTTAAATTTTACTTAATAAAAATTAAAATTTGCCTCACTGTCTTAATAAAAAGTTGTAGAGAATTTAAAATTAAATAACTCTTATAAAGTTAATTTCTTGGTTTTCATAACAAAATAAATTTTTAACCTAGCAATCCGGATTTTTTTTTTTTTGAAATTTTTTTTTTTAATTTTTAGTAATCTACTAACTAATGAAGTTAATATATACTTTAACTATTTGACTGCTTGTACAAATAATGTGTACCAATTCAAACTAATATAAATATTAACTATATATTGTGTGTTGATAAGTTTGTGATGAAAATTTTTATAATAAATTATAATAGGTTTCAAATAGTGTTATAATATCAAATAAGATTTATACTAAAAATTTTTACAGTAAATCATAATAAATCACAATTATTAATTCTAATTCAAACTAACTTAACTTCAATCATATACAGTCAACTCTCTCTAAGTACATGTTGTTAAGACCAGTACTTTGACCTGCATTTAAAAAGAACCTGCAATTAGAAAAAAATTAAAATTATTAAAAATTTTATTAATAAA